GTGCAGAGTTACCTCTCTTGGACTGATGCTTCGCCAAAACACTACTATTGATTTGTGAGTAGCAGCCCCACGCTGGAGGTTGTCGCCAAACAGGACCTCACAACCGAAAAGGAAAACTGTTACATAAATTTCCGGCAACATCCGAAGCATATATTCACGAAATAAATACTATATTTCGTATCAACAGCACATTAATACCCACCCATATCAACAATTGTTCACATCAACAGTCTCAAATACCTATACAGTACTACAATTTGACGAAACGTCTTGAAAATCCTTCAACATCTTCCATATGCCGGTAGACCTATACATTATTACAGTATGTGGTTGTGGTGTTGGATGTATGATGTCACCATGACTGGGCGCCGAGAAGTATATAGTTCTAGAGTTGAAGTACTGAAGTAAATATTGTCAATAGCAGTCATTCAGTCTTGTGGACAGCCGCGGTCACTCCGAATGTGAAACTGAGTTGTTTCACTGGCCACTTAACTGTTTAACTGTTTCTAGTTCAGGGGAGTAGATCGGTGAAAGGGACTCGGCGTTTTGACGATTATTGAACAATATCAGTTCAACGATGTACCTAAAGCTTCCAGTAGCTCCTTCTTTTGAGGTTTGTCACTACGAGCAGAAGTTCAGATGCAGGTACATATAGAAACAGATAGGCAAGAGATAGAGATGTTCGCAGCTTGTCTATATGTGTTATCCCCAAATTACACTCAGATGTTATCTATAAGGAAGGACTGCATTTAACCTTATGTATTATCAAAATGTTTCAGATGACATTTGCGTTCATTTTGGACTAATTGTCCCCAACCTTTGAAGATACAGACCGAACCATAACTAGCTACAACGTTTAGTTTAGAAAACAAGGATCACGTAATTAGGGGTTGTGGTTAGTAGTGTACAAAGTTGACAACTCTCTCTCTGTCCCCACCATACACTCTTGCGGGGAGGTATCTGCTACTCTGAAAAGAAAAAGAACGAAAAGTGCAAAATCTTGGAGCATCCATCACAGTCACAGAAAACATATTGCACGTGAAGTATACGATAACGAGATAAGTGCAAGATAAACTCACTGCACATGTCGACCTACTGAAGACTAACGAGGCAACTGTTTGATATATACTGACAACACATATCTGACATAAGGTTGGATGTACAGTTAAAGAAACAAACGAAGACAAAATAAAACATCTGGTTTTAAATTAATTACTCTCTGGTCGATTCACTCGAATTACGAGGCACAAAACAGATTTAATCATTCGACGATTTGTATTGTGACAGGACATGAGATTTTACGAATGCCACATCGTAAAATACATGCTGATAAATCATATTGATTCCGGTACATTGAAAGATCGTCTTTCTTTTTATAATTTTATCATACTCAAAGGCAAAAGTTAGTGTCATCAACACATTTGTTTATATAAATGAGAAAATTTCTATAACGCATTTAAAATTCTTTATAATGAAGTTAAGCCATAACCCAAACAGGGCTCTGTCTGTAAGTTTTGTTTTGCATGCATTTCTCGTGCTTAGAATAGGAGCAGGTGTCAACCCTGCATCAATGCTCCAGGCGGACATAGCGTTATTGACTGTAGGAATTTCATATTGACCCTTCTCTCGCTGTCACCTCATTAGCATGTGTCCGCCAGAAAAGTTATAACTGTGATATTTGCAATCCTATTGTCTAATAATTTTCTTGCAATATAATAAAGTCTCATCACAAAAATATCAGTTGTTTATGCACATATCTAACTTAATGTCAGGCACACTAAGTTTTGCCTTTGAGTATATAAAAGGAATTAAGTGGAATTAGAAAACTACAAAATAATGGCAATGATCAACACCGACTTTATTTGTAAGATTACCACAGTACCATACTTCGTCGAACGGTATTTCACATTGACATGGGGGAAATTATGTTATTTAATGAATTCAACACTCAAACGTGCATGCAGCCAGGGTGGGTACTGAGTGAATGTCTGTAGTAGATCCCCATTAGCTGTCTGGAACGGCAAACCTCGCGCACTATGGGATCTGTTCATGCCATGGAACATATTAAATCCAGCTGTAAAACGCGTGATCCTTGCTTGTTTTTTTTCTCTATGCTGGTTTATCTCATGTTGGTTTACTGAAGAGTATATCCGTATAGCCACAATCCTTCCTTTTACCCGGTAGCTGAAGGCATTACGTTGTAATACACCGACTCTATAGATGCTGTACTTGGATAATACACTACAACCATAACCCTGTTTTGTCATTTGGAAACCTTTGTTATACCTTGATGAAATTCAAACAGACTTCAGTTATCTGTGCACTTCAGTTTGTGGTATTCAGTAATACCATTCACTTTCTACGTGTAACTTTGACATTCAAACATCAGTTACTCAAAATCAAAGAACTTGGTATTTTTCTAATGATCTCTAATTCTTTAAAACACAGTTCATGGCATTGATGTCTTCGGAACAAGTGGTGAATTAACAATAAGCACTTGGCAATGACGTCTTCAAAACAAATAATGAATTAACGATTAGGTACATGGAAATGATGTTTTTGGAACAAGAGATGAATTAACAATTAGGTACATGGAATTGATGTTTTTGGAACAAGAGATGAATTAACAATTAGGTACATGGAATTGATGTTTTTGGAACAAGAGATGAATTAACAATTAGGTACATGGAATTGATGTTTTTGGAACAAGAGATGAATTAACAATTAGGTACATGGAATTGATGTTTTTGGAACAAGAGATGAATTAACAATTAGGTACATGGAATTGATGTTTTTGGAACAAGAGATGAATTAACAATTAGGTACATGGAATTGATGTTTTTGGAACAAGAGATGAATTAACAATTAGGTACATGGAATTGATGTTTTTGGAACAAGAGATGAATTAACAATTAGGTACATGGAATTGATGTTTTTGGAACAAGAGATGAATTAACAATTAGGTACATGGAACATACAGTCCAACAGGTCTTCAAAACAAAATTATCACATTTTCGGCAATTTATTACATTTGATGAGTAACCTAAAACTGCATTATTTTATGGAGCAATGCGGGTCGAACGACAGTCCCACAATCATGTGGAAGCGCGAATGTCAAGGATAAATTAGATTCTGATAGGGTCTTCAGTTCTGCTATGACTTTACTTGAATGTGTAATGCATTTCCGTTATGTTTTAGCATTTCTGATAAATATAAAATTTATGGAAATTTGCTGCGAAGAATGTGGTTTGGTTTCTCAAAAGCAAGTAAGAAATTTGATTGTCACAGTTTTGATCAATACTTGCTCCAATACAACAGTTTCAACGGCATGCAGTTGAGCATGGCGGAGTAATGCTCCGTATTCGTTGTTCTGATATATATCGGTAAATTTATAGGTTAGACGTGATTGAACTGGGTGGGTTCATTTTTCTACGTAAAACAAAAACGTGTACAGCATAAAATATTGCTATGTTTGCAATATATTTGGCACCACGTAAAGTGAAAGTGAGTATATTGGCAGTTTCGCATGACATCATTTCTAGCACAACATTTTATAAAATAAATAAATATAAAATATGTGTCAAAGTCGGCAGCCAGAAGGTTAAAGAGCTGAAAACTCTAACGTCATGATTCCTCCTCTATACTGGACTCTTATTTCTGGCCCAAACACTGAGTGCGGTAAACCCGTCCGAATGGCATCATCACGCAATCATGACATGACATTAGGCTATGACGCTCCACCAAGTCTCCCTCAAGTCATATATTGCACAAAGGAACAGAGGAAAATTTGCTCTATGGATTGTTTTTTAGGTGATACATTGCTCACACAATGAGGATGACACTTGTCTCAGTATTGTTGATATTAAGTAAACGTTTGGTGTCTACATTTCAGAACTTTTGACCTTAGACTTAGGCTAGGAATGAAGGACAATGTAGCTCATTTGAGTTAGGTAAACTTCTGTTCGTGGCATTTAGAAGCTGGCATGGCGACGTCGTGAAAGGCCAGGTATTTAGATAGTTGGTGTTCTACACCCACACGTCTCAGCTATTGCAATAAACAAGTTGTCAGTCCAAAACATATGTTCTTCTGAGTTAAGGTTTGAAATGAGCGTTTTGGTGACCAGAGACAGTGAGGTTTAATCTTGTTTTATCTCTCTTTTTATGTTAGGTGAAGTATGGCAGCTTCCGATCATCATTCCAGAATTTACTGATACTTTTTTCATTTGCTTTTCACATAATTCATAATTCGAGGTAGTGATTCCATAATTAACACATATTTTAAGCAGGACAACAACACAGTCCCTGAAAACTTCAGTTGAATGTCATGGGATTCTTTTGTTAAATTACTGATTCATTGCTCTTCATATATATTACTTTATTTAATAGTACATAAGACTCAAAATAATTAATAAAGTAACTCATGAAGCTTTAACCAAACATTAACAGCAAAATAGCATCCTTGGGCATGCAGCTAGGTTTATTGTAGGTTCAGAATCAGTACACAAGGGACCATTACATCTGAGACACATTGAACTGCACGTCATTGATTTATGGAGAGTGCAATATGTTATGCATACATATCATGCCACTTCAAAGAGCAGGGTCAGTCCGACACAAAAAGATATTGTATAATCTAAAATTGGTAAAATGGGAATTAAACAACAAATACTGAGATAAACATTCACATGTGTGAATCATAACCATCGCTAACATGCACATTTCGTGGCCAACAATCTACATATGCTGAACATAAACAAAAGGGATGCGACGCTATTTTGTCATGTAGACATGTGAGGTAAGTCTAACAAGACTCTCACAAAGCAGTCTAGACAAGTGGTTGTCGCCAATTATGTTCATCACTCTCTCTGTTTCAAATCAATTTCAATTAGGCCATCGTGCTTAGTCATGTGTGCATAATTGTATCTTTTGGGGGAAAATAGTCAATACTTGGAAATATGAGAAAGTTAATGTTCGGACGGCCTAGCGATAACAGACGTTTGTCTACTTGTTCCCGTCAGAGGCTATCTGTGTTTGACTGGATACAACCTTCCCTCCACATCTGGATTTGTATGTGGGTAAGTACTCTGTCGTGAGCACTGCTGTGGCCTTCCAAATGAACCGCAGTTTAATCTTTTTAAGAATTCATCAATTTTCATATGTATATCCTCTTATACCCCACGGGTTTTAGAATATCCGTATTTACCAAAGACTGGGATCCAAGCTCTCTGATCTTTCGTATTTCTGTGTGTACTAATTAACCTTAAAACTGATGAAATATGCTAGAGCTGGCCTGGGGTTAAGACATGATTTTTATAGATGCAGCTTCAATTAATCAGAATTGTGATTCGTAACATATCTTCCCCGAAGTAAAGCGTGATCTATATATCGGTGGATTATATTTGCAGTTCCGGATTTTCAATGACCCAGTGATTTGCCCGGTGTAGACAGATGACTTGAATTTACATGTTTTGCATTAAACGCTATAAAATGATTAGCATGTACGCTAGAGAAATATGTATTTGACAATGTAATATTATATAGTTATTTACACATTATTAGCATTATTATGTTCACTATTCATGTCAGTACAGCAGGGTACTCTCTAGTTGTCAGTCAAGAGATTGGCAGATACCAAACCTAAGTCACCGATACCAATGGAAAGCGTGGCAATTCGTTAGAGAGTTCTGCATATTTGCCATGGTTTCCTGAATCTTGTCAGTTACATTAGTGTCAAAGAGGATACAGATTTCCATGTAAATAAATGATTTCATTGGTTAGGTTAATGGCTGTATACGGGTCTGTTCTAACGAATTCTTTAATTTTAATTTCCCATGACATACTCCGGATCGTACTGTGGGTGGGCCTTTGAGGTACAACCACAAGCAAAGTGCAGACAGTACGTCATGTTCTAGGATGCCGTGTTCGTACCTCTGTTTGGCACCCGTTGTAGTAGTAGTAGTAGTAGTAGTAGTAGTAGTAGTAGTAGTAGTAGTAGTAGTAGTAGTAGTAGTAGTAGTAGTAGTAGTAGTAGTAGTAGTAGTAGTAGAAGTAGTAGTAGTGTGAGGGGTCTGATTTGATGTACATTTGCGTACATGAATGGTTTGGAACAAAATGAACAAAAGAAGAGCGTGTCACGTTTTGTCTCATGGTGTACTGCATGACTTGTTTGGGTCCTGTCACCATGATGAAATATGATATTTGAAAACTGCTTCATAAACAAGTACATCAATAGCATTTCTGGTATCCATCACTGGGAATAATGTCTGGTTTGTGATGTAATTACAGTTTGTCACGAACCATCTAACCGAATAAAAACATGCTGGCTCCCCCGTTGCTTCGGGGTGCATAATTATCAAAGGCGAATTAAGACCATGCATACCGATAGAGGGAAAATAGCAATTACCGCGATCAATAGCACACTAATTATATTCTGTTTCAACGTGGTCAGTTTCATATAAAAGTCTATTTTAACTATGCTATAATTTAGTTGTAACTGGAGCAACCACGTCAACAGAGAGTGAAAATTCCAAAATCGAAATAAAACGGCGATGACGTACGTTTGACAAGCGCAAGAATCAGCCTACAGTTCCTTTCATCCCGTGTGATCTTGAAGTTCAAATGACAGAAAAAAGACAAAACCATGTGTAAATGCCACATTTTCTTAATCGTAATTATTCAGATATTCTCCATATAAGATTCCAGACCCTAATTTAAAGCATGGTCTTTTTTCCAACAAGAGTATTTTTGTCAGATACTGTTTAATGATCGCATTTTTCTTCTTCTTAACATGGCGGGTTGTCGAAGATTTTGTTACAACTTAAACTGTAAATGTCCGGGGAAAAAGGTGAATTCCCAATAGGAATTGGAATGTCCATGTACATCACTGTTTGACTGTCAGCACCGAGTAACAGCTGGTTAATAGGTTTGTGTTGTAGAGCGTTTAGGGTTTCATATCTGCAAATACTTTAGAGATATGTTGAGATGCAGTAGCGCCAATAACCTGGATCTTAGGTGTTAATTTTCATCGTTCACATGCTTACTCATTCATTGCAATGTACCCCAGTTGGTATCCAGCCTTCAACATTTCCACAACACACGGAGCTATTACAGAAATCCAATTGCTACATTCTTGAATGACATCCAGCGCCTGTGAAAACACCGCCCAGTGATTGTACCTAGGATCATCTCAAATTATTGTCCGTGCTTGTTGAGAATCCTTGAGAATTGTTCCATCTTAACCCAACAACGAGCAACATATTTGAGGGTTTTGATTTAATTTCCTCAGCATCTTCGCGGGAAAAGACTTGTCATTCTGATCGAACACTTCAGTGTCATAAGATTCCAAACGAGACTACCCCGTTGTGTTGAGTATGAAAACCCAATTTGAACGGCGTGTCTGCGTGCTTTTGGCGTCGTATCGGTCACGTCGTATCAATTACGTCTCTCCCTACCGTTGTTGCCTGTGCGCCAAAGTTTGGTCTGGCAATTGATTATCAATAATTTGTGCTGTGACGCGCCATGCACGTGCTAGTGGTCACTTGACGGGAAACAGTTTTACTCAAACAAAACGGGACCATCTTTGCTTGAAATTCTAAATCAGCCCTCTCATTTGACCAAGTGTCCTTGGTTCTCAAGTCGATGGTAATTAAGTAAAGCCTCTGATTGACCGGCACCGAGTTCGAGTGCTTACGTGGAATTTCCGTCTTTGTATTGTTTGTGTAGACGCTGTATTGATGCCAATATGAAGACAATATGGCATGTCCGTGCACAAATATTGACAAGTGCTCAAGTACTGGCCTCTGCAGACTCTTCTAGTTATATAATCAGGTTCACAGTATTTTGTGACGGTGGAGTAGCCAGATGGTTAATACTTTGGATCGTTACGCCGATCAACCGATATCTAGTCACCATGTGGTGACAGAATATGTTTTCCCTTCACGATCTTTGGCCTAAAACTCTCACTATTTAAAGTCATGTTTATTTATTCTTTATTAGAGAATTTCCGCTCGTCCACAATCAAGCAAGTACCGCCTTTGCTTTAAATGTTCAAAGTGTTGTGACCTGGTCAACATGTCACTTAGTGCAAGATTCACTTTCATCATAGTGCATGTATGCAAGATATACGAAAGTTGTCTTCGTTTACCAACTTTTCAAAATGGAAACTTCATAACAGTTTCAGCTTGCTCACTCGCACAACACCATAGCCACATCTTACCTCGCGTGTACCATACTACATACATCTCTGTTCCAACACAACACTACTGACATCTCTGTTCCCACACAACACTACTGACATCTCTATTCCCACACAACACTGCTGACATCTCTGTTCCCACACAACACTACTGACATCTCTGTTCCCACACAACACTACTAACATCTCTATTTCCACACAACACTGCTGACATCTCTGTTCCCACACAACACTGCTGACATCTCTGTTCCCACACAACACTACTGACGTCTCTATTCCCACACAACACTACTAACATCTCTATTTCCACACAACACTGCTGACATCTCTGTTCCCACACAACACTGATGACATCTCTGTTCCAACACAACACTACTGACATCTCTGTTCCCACACAGCACTACTGATATCTCTGTTCCAACACAGCACTACTGACATCTCTGTTCCCACACAACACTACTGACGTCTCTATTCCCACACAACACTACTAACATCTCTATTTCCACACAACACTGCTGACATCTCTGTTCCCACACAGCACTGATGACATCTCTATTTCCACACAACACTGCTGACATCTCTGTTCCCACACAACACTGATGAAATCTCTGTTCCATCACAACACTACTGATATCTCTGTTCCCACACAACACTGCTGACGTCTCTATTTCCACACAACACTGCTGACATCTCTGTTCCATCACAACACTACTGACATCTCTGTTCCCACACAACACTGCTGACATCTATGTTCCATCACAACACTACTGACATCTCTGTTCTCACACAACACTGATGACATCTCTGTTCCAACACAACACTACTGACATCTCTGTTCCCACACAACACTGATGACATCTCTTTTCAAACACAACACTACTGACATCTCTGTTCCAACACAACGCTACTGACATCTCTGTTTCACACAACACTACTGATATTGCTGTTCCCACACAACACTACTGACATCTCTGTTCCCACACAACACTGCTGACATCTCTGTTCTCTCATAATACTGCTGACATCTCTGTTCCCACACAACACTGATGAAATCTCTGTTCCCACACAACACTGATGAAATCTCTGTTCCATCACAACACTACTGATATCTCTGTTCCCACACAACACTGCTGACGTCTCTATTTCCACACAACACTGCTGACATCTATGTTCCATCACAACACTACTGACATCTCTGTTCCCACACAACACTGCTGACATCTATGTTCCATCACAACACTACTGACATCTCTGTTCCCACACAACACTGATGAAATCTCTGTTCCATCACAACACTACTGATATCTCTGTTCCCACACAACACTGCTGACGTCTCTATTTCCACACAACACTGCTGACATCTCTGTTCCATCACAACACTACTGACATCTCTGTTCCCACACAACACTGCTGACATCTATGTTCCATCACAACACTACTGACATCTCTGTTCTCACACAACACTGATGACATCTCTTTTCAAACACAACACTACTGACATCTCTGTTCCAACACAACGCTACTGACATCTCTGTTTCACACAACACTACTGATATTGCTGTTCCCACACAACACTACTGACATCTCTGTTCCCACACAACACTGCTGACATCTCTGTTCTCTCATAATACTGCTGACATCTCTGTTCCCATACAACACTACTGACATCTCTGTTCTCACATAATCCTACTCACATCTCACACAGTTGACAAAGTAGGACCATCACATGATTGTTCTAAACGTTATATTCAGTTATCATTTTGGATCTGAAGAGATTTCAAATGAGTGGCACCGACGGCCCATTTGTGTATCGAACGTGTTATTTTCTAACTTGAATTTTTTAGAAAGGTGAAATAAAATCATAATCAGCCCATACCAAAC